GTTGAAATTAAAAGAAGGAATAAATAGGCGTGGTAATTAACCTACATGTGTGGGTGTTTGAAGAGTGATTTGAGGGCGCGACGTGTGACGTGCATGGACATATTGGCGCTGAATTGTTGGCAACATAACATGCATGGTGGAGGAGCTTGGCAACTGGCCAAACTCACCGCCTTGAGACTGATCTTCGTTTCTTTTAAACCTCATGTTATAAATTTGGCTTAGCCATGTTTATATTGTACAATTTGTCCATGCTAAAATGTGATGACCAAACTCACCGTCTTGAGACTTATCATGTTTGTCGTAAATAGATGGACAAGTGACCACCATCTACGATAGAGGAAAAGTAGCAACTCATTGGGGGTGCATGAGAGTTTATTTCTCCCATTGCAACGCATATACATGTTTGCTAGTCTATGATAAAAGATGCTCAACGGGTAAAATCTTGTAATCTTTCGCTCTTTTGGTTTCTTTGTTATTCATCTAACACATGTCTTCTAACTATAGGCTCTATGAAAATGCAACTGACCCCAATTGATCAAAAAAATGCAACTGACCCCACTACCCGGGACTGATTTCTCGGATGCTTCACAAATTCAAATGCTAGGACATTCTAAAGGACACTTTAAAGCGTCAACAGATTCTTGGTCATCTTCATTGGATTATTGTAAAAGTAACAATGCTTAATTTTGTTTAATCAATTTAAATTAAAATAGGGACACATGGCAGCTCCAAATAGGCCGGTACTGATTCAGGGTTGAATTAAGTCGTGGTCGTTGGATTTTAAGATCAATGGACGTCAAAGATCTACATATTTTGTTTCACTTATTAAGTGAATGCCCGTGCGTCGTCAGATCTAAGATGGACGAGTGAGATTACATCTGGAGCTCACCAGCAGCGCTAGGTCGTCGGAACACAGGCACAACGGCGACGTTCTCGGGGTTGACAGATCGGGCGCCATGGTCAGCAGAGTCGATGTACTATACGGTTTGGTTTGTCTTGATGTTGTAAAGCTCCTGGTGCTCTAGTCGGTCGTCGGGGACAACGGACGCAACTTCTGGAGTTCGCTGGAGTTGGCACTGGTGGCGGTTCTCCTCGGGTGAAGACATGGGCATCGATTTGGTGCGTCTATGGGCAGGCAATGCAACGAGGTCAGGGGGGCGTGTGTGGTCACCGCAAAGATGATGAAAAAGGTGTGCGGCTCGGGCATGAGCTTACCTGGCCGAAGTTGACGAAGTCACAGCGGCAAGGCCCGGGTGTGGACGAAGTCAGGCTTCCAGGGGTTCCGGTGGTGCAGGGGATGTCTAGGAGCAGCGCACGACGATGTTGAGGCTACTGGTGGTATATGTTGGTCCAGAGGGGTTCAAGTTTGGCCGGAATTGAGCCGCGGTGGTCGGAACAGAGGCGGGTGATGGGGGTTCATGGTGGAGCATCCCGGCAGCAATGTCCGACGGGTTTTGGCGCAAAAGAGAGAGGGGTTTGAGGTGGATTTATAGGACAAGCTCGCAGGGGCTGGTGTGCATGGGAGTGTGGAGACATGGAGATCGTGGGCACGCGTCCGGCGTGCTCGGATCATGGGCGCGTTGTGCGGGATGGAGGTTGAAAAAGACGCAACTAACAGGTGGGTCCCGCATGGAAGCAACAGAGAGAGAGAGAGAGGGACGAGAGAGAGTGGTGTGATGTCAGTCGTCGGATCTGGAGTGTGCGGCTCAGATTTGAAAGACGCATACCCCTTCGACCCTTAAGTTTGTTTCTTAGACAACCTTCGGCCCTTAAGTGACTTATTAGGCAGGTTGAGCTGGCTGCTGCTGCTGGCCCAGTTGGGCTGGCTGGCTCGCCTAGCTCTTTTCTTTATGTTTATTTTCCCTTTTGTCTTCTATTTCTTTCTAAAATCATTTCTGATTTGAATTTGAATTTTATTCAAAAGGAAAACTTATTCTAAATTCAATCTGAAATATTTATAAATTGTTAGACATTTATTTAGGGCCTATTGATCATTAATTCTGCCATTTTATTTTCAAAGCCTTGTTTAAAATGTTTCTTTTGAATTATTTTTGTTTCCAATTAAGTTCTTTTTCTATTATTCAAATTTGACTTTCTGTCAATTTCTTTATTATTTGTATTGTCAACTTGTTTTGAGAATTTTATTTTATTTCCAACGGTTGCCCCATTAGGGTTCCATTTTGGATTTGAGATGGCTTTAGGGTTTCTTTCGGAAAGCTAGGATTTTACTATTTAGTGTTTTATTGAATTTCTTCCAACTCTAAATAACACATACAAGGTCCTACTTTCAAACAAGTCAAGAATTCCTAGACAATTTCTAGATAAATAGCAAGCAATCCCAAGTATTTATAGAAAAGTTTTACTTCCTTGTGGATTTTTAAACATTCCATATTTGGGAAAAATCTGGGATGTGACAGGCAGTCAAGTGTGCGAAAGCCGCCGAGGCACAGGAATGGCCTCGGCGTTCGAAGGGCATCGACGGTGTGGATCTTCTCGTCCCGCTGAAAAGGGTAAAAGGCAAAAGGTTGAAGTTGTCTTGGTTGCACAGCCTAAGGCTCACAAGTTGCCTTGACTGTGCCGCCCAAAAGCACCAAAGGGATTTGGTAGCGCCCCTGAATAGTCCTGGCCATGGGCCGCTCGGCCCGAAAAAGCCCGGCCCGACCCGGTCTGACGCTGCTCCCGTGCCAGGCCCGGGCCTAGGTTTTGAGCCTGAAGACTAGGTTGGGCCGGGCCTGGGCCCGCTGTTTCTGCCATTTACTAAAGATGCCCGAAGCCCGATGTGTTTTTTGTTGTGACGGGCCAGGCTTGAGCATGAAAAGTAGGCCCGACAGCCGGGCCAGGCTTGGGCCTAAGTTTTCTACCTCGGGCTTGGTCAGGCCCGGCCCGGAGGATGGCCAGGTCTACCCCTGAGTAATCTCATTACTACACTCTATGGGGTCATCAGTTAGTTGCACCAGTGGGGAGCAGGGCCGGCCCTGGAGTATGGCCGCTGGGGCGACGACCCAGGGCCCAAGCGGGAGGGGGGCCCATGATGTAGTATATATACATACTATTACCCAGCAAAAACTAGGTAAAAAAACGAGATGGGCTAGGGCGCAAGGCCCATGCGATCGATTACGAAGCGTTACTCGGCACCTCTTTTTTCCTTCGTCTGGATTCTGGACAGTTCGTCTCTAATCTCTTCGTCCTGCCTGCCGCCCGTTGCTCGGCGCCTCCCCGTCTCGTCCGTCGCCGGCTCGCCGCTGCGCGCGCCGCACAGCAGTCCGGTAGCCCAAAGTCTGCAACGAGTCAACAAAGTAATCCATGATCCATTCCATCCGCCAGTTTCTTCAGCCCGTGAGCACACCACAATCCACAGAGTTAGTAATGGTACATATACGTATCCATGATCCATCCATGTTCCTGATGACCTGATCCATCCCCCCAAATCCCAATTTGACAATTTCAGCAGTATATTTTATTTTTTATTTAGTATGTACGTATTCAACTATCCATCTATGTATGTCTAGGGTTCCAATCATCCGATGTATAAATTCTTAATTCTTTTTACCCTCTTTTCTTCATGATTTTAGGACATTATCCTGCCATGTTGCTTAAGAAGAAGCAATTGTTGGGTGCTGAAAAAAGGAGAAAAGGGAAAGAAAGTGATTTGAAACTTCAACCACTGATTGGTTCTTTGAATAAGTACTTTACATCGTTGACAATGCAATTCTTTCATTGACCAGTCGCTTTGATCTGTTAGTTTCATTTTGCTATCCTTTTAGTATTATTGTTGTCTATGGAGTCAGTTTGAATTTAGTTATTATTGTTATCGATGGAGTCAGTTGAATTATTATAGTCAAATTTTAAAGGTTGAAAGTTACATAGGGGCCCATGTCGCCAAGTTCGCCTTGGGCCTCCCAAAACACAGGGCCGGCCCTGGTGGAGAGTGGATGTTCACATACTTATATTATTACGATTTTGTCAACATACTTCTATTATTATGATTTTGTCCTTTTCGTTGCTGATAACAACGACAGGGTCATAGATCCGAAAGTCCTGGGTTGGCCATCATAGTTGCGATTTTTCTTACAATATAATACTCCCTTCGTCTGAAAATAAGTGTCGGGATTTTCGTTCAAATTTGGTTTAGGACGAGGGAATAAGAAATATATTTTTTAACTTTTTATTACAAAGAAGACCCTTGATAAAACTACGAGATACATAGGCTCTATTTCCCAACCACCAATTAACCAAACAAGGAGATATGAATTTGCCAATCCAAAACTTGATCCACAGTTCAATACATGGAACGGAAGAAGGTAAGACTCTTGCTGTGTCAGTGTCAGTGTCAGTGTCACTGTACCAAGTGACCTGTATGATACATTCTACTACACAGGATAAATTCCCAGCAGCACAGGATACGTGAATAACAGGATAAATTCCCAGCAAGCCATCTTTGTGTTGACAAAAAGCATCTCACATAACACCGTGGACAGAGTACCTCATCACGGTGTTGTATCGAGAACACACACACCGTGGACTTAATAAGGTCAAAACGCACCTAACATTGTCCCATTCATAACCTTATACTCCCTCCGTCCGAAAATACTTGTCATCAAAATGGATAAAATGGGATGTATCTCTGATACATCCCATTTTATCCATTTTGATGACAAGTATATAATACTAATACCAAGTCAACAACAGAAGTAGGGGATTACAAACCATGGACATCAGGTTGCACCAGAACATGATACTAGCAAAATAGAGGAAGCTCTAAATATTAATAATCGTCTCCTAGCCTCAACCTCCCATCATACAGGCTTACCAAGTCTTATATAACCTAAATAATAAATAAAATTCTGATCCTGACTAGTTAACCAAGCAAGAAAACAGGCGCGCATATACATGTTGACAGCCAAGAAACCATAACGCTGGTGGGCACACTCATACCTCAACAAACCACCTACTGTGTGTCCATCGCATTCCCCTCATCATCCTCTCCTTCTTCCGCTGGGTTAGTAGTGATGGCAAGCTGATGCTGTGGCTTCTTGCGAGAGGATCACTGAGGCACTGTCGCTCGTCGTTTCAAATTCTCCTTTGAAACTGCACAAAAAAGAACAGATTTTTGGTGTGAAAAAGAAACCCTTGTCCTTCTCCTTTAAAACCACAACTAACAAAGCCTGGCAACACAATAAGACTATACGACAACAAATCCTAGTTCTAGAATGTACTAGGAACATCCATGTTAAGAAAAGGAACTTTGTTAATAGGAAATCTTGTAGTCACCAAGTTAAAGCGTCGGTTTTGAAGTCATATATGAACCTGTATTTAATTAACCACCAGATGGAACTGAGATGATACAACTACAATTCATGTCATGGTCTACATCTTGAATGAATTTGAGCAAGGCATATTGACGCATATTTATCATTAACAGGGAGGCGATGGTAAGGTACCTGGGGGCATGAGATGGCTGGAGATGGCGGTGCGCATGTAGGTGTTGGGTCTCTGCATATCGAAGTCCTGCACATCCAGCAGCTTCCCATGCTTGATGTCAACAGTGATCACTCTCGAGTTGCTGCTGGTTCTGCTACTGACATTGGTCCTGAGGTACAAGAAGCCATCTTCATGGGCGCTGAGAATGGGGTTGGTAACAAATAGAGACTGGGGCAAGTTGTAGTTGGAGATATCACTAGAACGGAGTTCGTGCTCCTGCCGGAAGCTCAAACCACCCCGGGTTTCCAAACCCTCATTGAGCCCCTCCAGGATCCATGTGACCACCGTCCAGCCACTAGGGGTTTCTGAGTAAGGGATGTTGGGGTCGGTGTGGATCTGCAGGTCAACGAACCTGATGATGCCAGAGTCTTTGACAAAGACAATGTCCCGAAAGCGGCATCCAATGTCCAGGGGAATAGGGAGGCAATTTTGCGGCTGCCTTGGCTTCGGAAGGGAGACATAGCGAAGCGGGCTGTAGGGTGTGTGGTCTGCAAGCACGTCAGAGAATAGTATGCCATTCCAGAGGTCGACCCAGCCCATGATGCCACGGCTGGAGCCACCGATGGTGATGACCATGTCGATGTCGCAGATATAGTCGAATGGCAGCAGCGGCTGTGGAATAGCAGCTGGCTTGCGGGTCCAAACCTGGGTTTTGGAGTCGTAGATGCACAGGTAGTATGGGCCATGTGGGCTATTGCCAGAGTCGTGGAAATAGTCGTAGGCAAGCGCTACGATTCTGTGGGCATCGAAGTCCTCATCCTCCTTGGGGAGGGCGGCGACGGAGGGGCTGAGGACGGAGGTTGGGGGCGTGGAAGGGAAACTTTTGGGGCGGGCAAGTGCAACGGCAGGGCTGAGGATGGGGGCAGGGGGCGCGAGGGGGATTTTGTGGGGGTGAGCATGGGTGAAAATGTTGCTGTTGTAACGCACGACACCAATCGAGCTGGAAGGGATGCAGTCGACTCCCGTGCTTGGCAACATGCTGGCGGGGATGTGCGGGACCCAGATGAGCTCCGGCTTCCCCGCCGGTGAGGATGGTGCCTGGTACACCAAGTATTCGTAGTTGTTCTTCTTGGACCCGAAGGCGGAGGGGCGGCTGCGCCCGTGGCAGAGGGTGATGACGGCGAGGTTACCCTCCGTGGCGAACACGAAAGGCTCGCGGAAGAACAAGCGGGTGTCTTCTTCTTTGTCGTTGGGGCAGGAGGCGTGGCAGCAGAAATAGGAGAGACGAGGCGGCCGGGCGAAGCACAGAGTGACCCACAGATCCACCTCCTTGCCGTCCAGATCCCTCTTGAATTGAAGGTTGACGGAAGTATGGTTTTTCTTGTCGACCATGTAAGCGACGCGGTCGAGGAGGACTTCCCCCCAGTCCTTCGCCGCCGGCGCATCATCCAAGGCCGGCGGACGCAAAGAGGCTTCGTAATAGCCTTCGTGCGGCATGGTGGGTCTTGTGCGATCTCACACAGGCGTACTCCTATCTAGGACTGGTGGTGGTACTTATTGAGAGGAGGGGTGAGGTCTAAGAATCACAATCAGATTGTAGTCGGAACCGGATTCATGGACAAACACGAGAGGGAGACGGAGTGCCCTCCGGCAAGAAGATGGCGGAAGAAGATGGAGTGGGAGTGGGGAGTGGGGAGAAGGAAGAAGGGGAATGGACTGGCTCGGCGGCGGCGGAGGGAACATCTACTGATGCCTCTCCAACAAACAACACACGGTGGCCGCCCGTCCGCTGCAAACCCTAGCGCCCAAACCTGGCCACATATGGGCCGGCCCTTTTATAAAAGGTTTGCTAGCGCTCCACTGCTCCTTCCCTCTTTATTATGTTTTTTTTTGGAAACTCGTTATTTTTCCTTATCTTTGCATACCCATGTGTATTCATATTTATATAATATACTCCTTCAATACCAATTTTTTTTAAAATTTGTTTAGATACTGATGTTTTAGTGTTAGTGTTAGATACATTTATATCTAGATAAATCTGCGATGAGTGTTTTTGGGACGGAGGTAATACTATAACTAACTAATTGCTCGTGTGTCGCAACCAGGGCATACATATTCTACTGATTAAACAATAATCGTGTTCAACATATAAGGCATCCTTAGACATTCATTGTCACACATGATTGCAGTTCTTGATTTCTGACTAATACAAGATTATTCTTTCACAAAGAAAGTAAAAACAAAGCTACCAACATTGGCAAAAAAAAGCAGAATCGAGTGGTTCCGGTTCAAAAGAAAACATCCATGGCAAGAGCAACTAATCAGGAGTACTCTTTCGGGAGCCACGCAAGGGTCACTTTTGATGGCTGGGAGCGTGTCACTTGGCGGCTCTCAGTCGCCGTCACGTCTCGCGCTCCGTGCTCCCTTCTTTTTTTTACATGCTTACGGCTTTTACATGACTTTTTTTTCGGATTTTTGGTTTTCCTCAGTTTTTCTTAGGTTTTGGACAAAAAATCTAAAAAAGATTGCATCAAAAAACATGATTTTTTTTCCAGGTTTGCTTTTTCATGTCTAGATGTGAAATAGTTATCTACATCTAACTCTTAAACCGTTTGATAAAAAAGAACATCAAGATTTGTGTTCCCGGCTGTCCTGCTTACGGCTGTTCCCGGCTCGTAACGAGCGGTTCCGGAGCACTCCGCGCGTGACAAGTGTTGCGCGCGGAGCGCTCCCACAAGGGAAAACCACCTGACGCGGTTGGTTCCCGATTTTCCCTTTCTGGTTTGTGGTTTCATGCGTTTTGCAGTTTGACCCTCGAACTACTAGAATTTTTTGTTTTCCCTTTCCGCGCAATCACACAAAGAAAATACCAGTTCGCGCACTTGGTTCCATGTTTCCCTTTCTCGTTTCCCTTTTTGTTCCCATTATATTTCCGGGGAATGGAGATTTATGGGGTAGTTACGGGCGGGGACTACCAACACTATCAAATGTGAAATTTCAAGTAAGGAAAAAACAACAACTTTTTAATGTAAAACGGCAGTCTTCAGAATCGTTCAATCGTGTGAATTCTGTATAGGCACAGGTGTACACTAGTAGAGGCACGGGTGTATAACTTTACTAAATTGAAGAACAGCGCCTCCGGCGCGAGGGAACCTCCTGCTTGCCTTTAGCTCGTTTAATTTTCATAAACATCTTGAAGGGGGGGCATAGGTCGAAGTGTGTGCTGGTCGTGCAGCGTGCTGATTCGTGCGGCGCATTGTCCGTCGTGGTGTGACACGGCGCCTCTGGCACGAGGGAACCTCCTGCTCGCCTTCATCTCGTTTAATTTTCATAAACATCTTGAAGGGGGGCATATGTCAACGTGTGTGTTGGTTGTGCAGCGTGCTGGTTCGTGCGGCATGCTGGTTCGTGCGGCGCATTGTCCGTCGTGGTGTGACACGGCGCCTCCAGCGCAAGGGAACCTCCTGCTCGCCTTCGGCTCGTTTAATTTTCATAAACATCTTGAAGGGGGGCATAGGTCGAAGTGTGTGTTGGTCGTGCAGCGTGCTGGTTCGTGCGGTGTGCAGGTTCGTGCGGCGTGATACGTCTCCAACGTATCTATAATTTTTTATTGCTCCATGCTATATTATCTACTGTTTTGGACCATATTGGGCTTTATTTTCCACTTTTATATTACTTTTGGGACTAACCTATTAACCGGAGGCCCAGTCCAGAATTGCTGTTTTTTGCCTATTTTAGTGTTTTGAAGAAACAGAATATCAAACGGAGTCCAAACGGAATAAAACCTTCGGGAACGTGATTTTCTCACCAGATATGATCCAGGAGACTTGGACCTCCCGTCAAGAAAGAAAGGAGGCAGCCACGAGGGTGGAGGGCGCCCCCCCTAGGGCGCTCCCCCTGCCTCGTGGGCCCCCTGAGGGAGTCCTGGATTAGGGGGTGTTCGGATAGCCGGACTATACCTTCGGCCGGACTCCTGGACTATGAAGATACAAGATTGAAGACTTCGTCCCGTGTCCGAAAGGGACTTTCCTTGGCGTGGATGTCACATCCCTAGCTTCTGGCATTGCTCTAGGCTAGCTCATGTGTGCATCATATTTAAATTCTGAAACCTGAACTGAGGAATTTTGGAAACCTCAAAATCTAATTAAAAGAAGGGCAAGCAACCCTTAAATTGCATTCTGTGAATCCAAAATGCCCTAAAAATAGTTTTGTGAATTTTGGCAAGGGTTATACATCAAACCAAAATTCTGGAATATTTTTAAGGAATTATTTGGTCTCTGAATTTAAATCAATAATCTATTTGAATTTGGGGATATATTCATAATATATAATGAATATATTTTCAAATGTTTTGAAATATTTTATGTACTTTTGGAATAGTCCAGAGAGGTAACATAAAATATTTCAGAATGTTTTGGCACTGTTTGAAATTATTTTGAATTTGAAAACAGTGGCAAAATAAAATAAAAAGGGAAACAGAACAGAAAAAAATAAAAGGAGCAAAGCTTACCTGTGCAGCCCACCAGAGCCGGCCCAGCTCCTGTGCTGGTCCAGCACTGTGCGGCCCAGCCCACCGCGGTCGCCACCGTCTTCAACCTCCTGCCAGTAGGTAGGAGGGCGTGTGCCCGACGCGCGCGCGCACGCTCCGGCCACCTCCTGCTTACCCGCTCGCCGCTGGAGGCACCCGAGGGCGCCACGCACTCCCCCCTCGCCCCCTGCACCTCCCCTCTCTTTCCCTGGACCCCGTTCCCTCCTCTGCTCTCTCCCTGCACGCGCCCGAGCGGAGCTCGCCGACGCCGTTCGCCGTAGCCACCGTGCTCCTCACTGCCACCCGAAGTACCCAGGAGATCCGCCCCGACCCCCTCTTCCTCCTCGCCGAGAAGCACACCGCGGGAGCCCCTGCATCACCGCCATCGCCGTCGTCTTCTACCTCGGACCCGCCGGCCATCTTCGTCAAATTCGTCGGCTCCGGTGCCTCCCCGAGCTCCCCGAGGCCACCGTCGCAACCCCTGTGAGCTTGCCTTCGTTTCCCCTCATCTCTCTCCCTCGCGTGCACCCTGTAGCCGCCGCCCCACGAGCACCCGAAGCTGCCGTCCGCCATGGCCGGTGAGCTCCGTGCTCCCGAGCTCCTCCGCCTGCGCTCGTTGTCTCCGGGTGTTCCTGGTGACCCCAGCATCCCGTAGAGCCCATCAGCTGACCTCGCCGTGCCGTGTAACGCCGAACCCGAGCACGCCCGAGCTCCGGCCGCCGCTGCCGAGCTCGGGGCCATCGTCCCCGGCCGCCCTAGCTGCTGCTGCTTGCTGAAACGGGTGCGGGTGAGCTCCAGCTCCCCGTAGCCGCTCTCCTCCGTCCATTTGGACGCCGGAGGAGCGATCCCGAAGCCCTCCGCCGTGCCTGTTGCCGCCGGCGTTGAGCCGCCGGCCTGTTTGGGTCATTTGACCGAGGTTTGACCCCCCTGGGTCGATGACAGGTGGGGCCAGCCCCCTGTTAATTAGTTAGTTTAATTTAATTAAACAACCCCCCCTGCGGACACTGACAGTGGGCCCGACCCCCCCCCCTAACCTTTTAATTAAACTAAATAAACCCCTGTTAACCCCCTGTCACTGACGTGTGGGTCCCACACGTCAGGTTTGACCCGGGGCAGCCCTGTTGACTTGCTGATGCAAGCATGACGCAGTGCTGATGTCATAACTCATTTTCTGGATTTAATTTAATTCTGAAATTTCAGAAAATGCCTAAAACTTCAATAAATCATAGAAAATTAACCGTAACTCCAAATTAAATAAATTATATATGAAAAATTATCAGAAAAATTCAAGGAATCCATCTGTACCATTTTCATGCATGTTAGAACAACTTATAGCTGCTGTTTAGCACAAATCAATTAAAGGGCATTTAAATAATCACATATGGAGTTTGAATTTGAATCTTGTATTCAAACCAACTTCATTTAACTTGTTGCTAGATGCATTAGCCCAAAACACATTCATTTTGCTATGTCATGATCATGCATCATATTGTGCATTGCATTGATTGTGTTTCCTTCTGTGATGCCGGTATTTGTCCCCTCTCGATAGACGTGTACCGATGATGTGATCGTTGACACTGATGAAGACTCAATGTTATCTTCAGAAGTGCCAGGCAAGCAAAACCCCCTTGTTCATTCCGATACAATCCTACTCTCTCGCTCCTGCTCTCTTTTAATGCATTAGGACAACACCGATTCATCTGTTACTTGCTGCGGTAGTTGAACCCCTTTATCCTCTGCATGACCTGTCATTGCCACAGTAAATAGATGAAACCCACTAGCATGAGTAGGAGTTGTTTGAGCCCTGTTGTGCCTACTCATTCATGCTTGTTTGTCATGCCTGCTACTGCTTAGAGTTGAGTCAGGTCTGATTCATCGGGAATGAATCAGAGGTGTGTGAACATGTCCTACTGTGTGTGAGCTAAGTGTGTGAACACGATTTGGTAAAAGGTGTCGGTGAGAGGCCATG